ACCTCTTTCAACACTGCAAGCTATGTGCTAAAGGCATTAACTAATTTACCCAAGGTGACAGAATGGGGCAAATGGGCATTCAAAACCAAGAGTCATTTCTATAGCCTGTTCTTGTGTTATCACCCAGAATTTCGTATGTGTGTGTGTGTCATGCCAAATGTAGTATGATGGGTATTGATTGCTCAAATAACATGGCCCAAAGATGCTAACTCAAAAACCTTGAGCGTCAGGCCAGAATCCTCCCGTCTTCGGTCTAATGCAGCAGCCTCCAACCCCCTATTGCCTTGTGTCACAGCCGTGCAGCCTACACACAGGCCAGCATCACCCTGTCGTCCGACTGTGCTGCTGGCTTGCACACCCTCAGTGTCTCTGGCCAGGAGCCACCCTGTAAGCCCCTTAAGGAGGCCCCAGGTCTTTTTATTAACAGTTTCAATATTTCTATTGCAGGAATTTTGAAGATTATTCCCAGCTAGGGAGGTGCTGACAAAATCCGTCAGAGATGTAAAGTTTATGCTCAACTTCTGTGCCTGAGTCACAGACGTTTTTCCCAACTAGAAACAGGGCTGGAGTCAGAAGCTGGACGGGGAGAGGAGCTTTGGAAGGCAGTTCGGGGCCCACTGGGAGGGAACAATGCCAGAGCCCTTGCAGGCTGTGGACAGGCCCTCTGCTAGACCCGTGTCCTAGCCTCCTTGCCCAGCCTGGGCAAGATGGGCCTGTTCCACAGATGCAAGCGGCAGCATCTCGGTCCCTTTCTCATGGTCAGACGGAGTGTCGGATCCAGGACTCAAAGCTTTCCCTCTCAATCAGGTTAGGCTTTCTTCAAATGAAATCCCCTCTGTGGCCTGAGCTCATGGGCTACGATTGTCCACCCCAGGGGTGGGGGGGAACTCCAGATCGGCATCAACAAGAAAAATGATTTGTAAAGACTTCTGTGATTAACTGCAGGGTTTAATTTTCCTTTGGGGGTCTGCTGCCCTGGTCTTTCCCCAGAATGACTTGCAAGCAAACCGTTAGAGGAATGCTTGTTTTGGGACTGGGAGGTAGAAGCCACAGATAAAAATCATGCCTTTTACCATTCCCCACCCGCTGGTTGGCTCACCTTCCATAGCTGCTTACACTGCCTGTCACTTCTTGCAGGCAGCCCATCCTGAACACGTGACCTTGACCGGCTGCTTCTCTGCACCCATTAGTCTTATTGCCTATGTCTGTGTTTCCCAACTGGAAGCAGAGACTTCCACTGGGCAAGGACTAGCACAGTGCCTGGAACCAAATGGCTCCACAAACAGGAACTGTTAAGACAGTGGGATGACAGGAGACCAATGGGGCCTGGCTTGACTGCCTGGTGTCTCACACTGTAAAGCGGCAATAACTTCCCCAGGTGTAATGGGAGATAGTTCAGGTCACCAGAACCCCTGCAGTAAGATAGTCCCACTGGGCTACTTCTCACCTGGGATCCAGACTGCTGTGTATGGCTGCAGGCCTGGCCCCCAGGGAGAGGCATCAGGCACCTGTGCCCCTTTCTCCAGGACAAGACTCTTGGGTTCGTCCTGACTCAATGTGGGTTTCCGCAGGGATGCTCTCTTTCTGCTTCCCTAGGCTTGTCTTGAGGGAGCTGCTAGGAACCTGTTTCCAGACCACTGAAGGCAAGTTTCGGATTCCATCACGTACTGTTACCATCACAACCATTTATTCAGTGCTTGCCAGGCACTGTGCTAAAGCTTTACATTGTTTTCAGTAAATCCAGCAAGCCCGAGGTAGATGTTTTCCATGGCCCCACCCCACTTATCATTACAGTTGAGGAAACAGGCTCAGAAAGGGTCAATCAAGCTGAAAAACTAACCCAGAGGCACCTGATGTTGAAAACCTTGCTTTTAAATGCTATGCTAGGTGGTTTCCCACTGGACTTAAAGGGTGCTTTCTCTTTCCAAAATGTGGCACTGGGGCCAGGAGGGGAGACTGTCTGGGTTCAAGCTAACCCCTGTGTCCCGTCCCTCTCCTGTCGGCCCAGCTTCCAGGGCCTCTCTCATCCTCTAAGACCTCCGTGTCCTACACCTGAACACTCAATACGCTTTTTCCCTTCCAGCAACCACTGCCAGGCACAGGGGAGAAACTTGGTGAAATGGTCAACTCTGAACTGGGAACTGTATGCACAGTAGCTGCATTTCGAGGGAAACAAAACTCCACTTTGTTCACCCAGGCTGGCCAGGCCCTGTGCCTCTCCTCTCTTCGCCCTGTTCACAGGGCCTGCATCAGCCGCCACTCTCCTTTCCCTTAAACTTGTCCAGTGGCCTTACTGGCTGTTGGTGCCTGGGTTTACAGGCCACCAAGCTTTGAAGATCTTCGGAAATGCCCCCCACGTGCTGAGAACTAAACCAGGATGTGCAGAAGTGAAGAGAGGCAGGGGACAGCGCTGACACAGCATGTGAACAAACGAGGTACAGGGGCGGTCCCTCGGAGCGTGATCCTCAGAGATCTGTTTATCCAACACTTGAAGCCAAGAAGATCCTGTAGGAAGGGCAACTGGTTGCAGCCTCGCTGAAGGGAACACTGGAGACTGGGCAGAGGACAGCTGGGTGGGAGCAATTGAAGGGCTTCTGGAGGTAGGCTGGAGCAATCTTTCAGAGGCGACAGTTTAGGACACCAGAAAACTGGGTAAGGGGCTTGAGGACAACTGCATAAGATTCCAGAGCAGAGGGCGGACGACATGGGCTGAAAAGTCAGTGCCTCTGAGACCCCACGGCCACTTGCAGGTGACATTCCCTCCCGCACCATCCACCCGGCAGGCGCACTCCGGTGCTTGTAGGTCTGCTAATAAAGTGCAGCAGATTTTAAAGGTCGGGGTATCAGATGTAGGGAACTCGGGAGGGGGGGGACATTCTTTGGGAACTTGTCCCGACAGGATTGAGACCTCCTTCCTGTCTCTAGCCCACATACACTTTTGAGGGTAGGCCTCTGAGCTAAGGAAACCACTGACTGCATTCAAGTTATGAAACTGAGGGGCTGTCACCAACGTGGAAATTACTTATGCCTTTACAGTTTGAAGGGGGGGTGGTAACTCAGGGCCCTGAAGACCCACACGGGAGCTCTTCACCGTGGAAGACTCAGCCGGTTAGGCACACGCACCTGGCCCGGGGCCCCATGCTCCCCACAGAACCCCAGCTGCAGGGAGTCGGAAAAGCACAGAGCAATCTGCCTTGCCAGGGGCCCAGAGTGAAGGTGAGCCTGGGGATTGGGAGGGGCTGGAACCATGTACGCAGAACTCTCCGCTCCTGAAGTCCTCCCTCAACAGTCCCTAACCGGTCCACACAGGCAGCACCACCACGGGGCTAAGCTCTGGTTGTTTCCCAAGCTCCCAAAAAGGAAGACCAGGTTTTCTCCACGCCCTGCTGGCCTTGAAGCTCACAGGTGGAGGACATCAGGGTCGCTATTGCAAAGCCATTTCCCGTGAACAGCAACCATATCAAAACGATCCTTTGTTAGTCTGCCCATAGCTTGTATTTGACACCGATCTACCTTTAGTTCCGTTGGCTCAAGCCCATCCATTTCTGCTCCTGTAACCATCTCAGGAGAAGGACGGGCCTAACTCGTGCTTCTTTTCAGAGACCTGTGAGAATACTGAAAGGATGTGTAACCTAGGGGTCTCTGGGGGGGGGGCGGCAGGAGGAGGGAGTATATGCCCACACTGGGCTGGCCCATTGATAAGGATCCTTCCCCTCTCTGTCTCCTAACAGATTCAGATTAATGATCGCTCATTCCTAATTGTCAAATTTCTTTTCCTTCATCCTGTGTCTAATCACCAGTGACAGAAACCATTACGCAAATGAGAGCAGACGACTTCCCCCAACTGTTCACGTTGGTAAAAACCTTGTAATTTAGAGCTCTGATTTGTAGGGGAAGCTGGTCTCCCCCAGGCATCCTGGGCATCTGCTCAACGGATGCCCTGAACAGCCCCTCCCCCACAGCCAACCCCAACCCCCCAACAAATATTTGACTTCACAAACCATTTGGTCCTGAGCTGGTGTGCACCAGGAGCCTGCAGTCTGGTTGACCTCTAGCCAGGGACGTGTTCCTGTCTCCCTTAGGGTGGTACGCCTGCCTCCCGAGCTGCCTGCCAGGATGGAAGGTAACCAGCTGGAGAGCTCGTAGCTTCCCTCGCAGTCAGAACTGGAACCCAAAGAGCCCTAAGCTAGGTGAGTGAAGAGCACTGATCTCAGAATGAGAATCCAGACTCTTCTCCCGTTAGGAGCAAGCCAGTTCGATCCAGGGCCTCATGGGAGTTATGGGGCCTAGTCGAAGGTCACTCAAATAGCACAATGGGATCTAGAACTCAGGTTCCTTCTAGCACTCCTAAGCCAAACTCCAGCTGCTGGGAGGTTTTCCCAAGGCGCTTTTGGCTGAAAGCGAGAAGAGTGCGCTCCCCAGGCTGCTAGCTCTGTATCCTCTTGGCAGGTTGGTTGGTGCCAGACAGGGCTTTGTGTGCTCCAGTACAAGGGAGAGAAGTCCAGCAGGAGAACCTAGAGGATTTTTTGGAAAGGAAGGAGCCGGGTCTGCAGTCGGCCAGTACTAGGCTTGACTCCTCAGGGCTACATATCACCTGGACACCCTGAGCCCCCTTCTTCATCTGGAAAATAAGGCCAATTACCTTTCAGGAGGGCAAGGAACCAAGAGCAAAGGACTAGGTGGGTACCAGGGATCTCATCAGGGGAGAGACTCTTGGATACCATCGTCCCAGGGACAGGACCAGCCCTCTGGAGATTCCCAGTGAGCTCCCTTCTCCCCTTGGGGAGGCCACCCGCTTCAGTCAGGCCTGTGTCAGCCCAGTGGCTCCTCACCCACCTCCCAAAGTCCAAGCCAGGAATGCGCAGGCCTGCCTGCCTGATGCAGAGGAGCGACATCTCCGGCCTTTCTGAGTGTGATGCTGAGCACGCTGATCCGCCCTGGCCTGGCGTGATGCACGCCTCCTTCCCCAGAGTTGGAGGCGGGAGGGAGAGCACCGCGGGCACGTTGTCCAGCATTGGCTATATTTGAAAGAACTCCACTTGAAAAGGTACCGTGTCTGCATACCCACACGATTGGAAAACCCCACGAGGTACTAAAAAAGCCATGAACACCCATCTCCCTGAACACACACTCGCGCTCTCTCTGCAAACGCACTGTACACACACCCTCTCAGTCCATCAGTGCACTGTAAACTGAGCTTTGGGGTAAGAGCCACAGCTCAGACACTGGAAGTAAACCTTTGGCAAGAAAATAAAACAAAACAAAACAAAACACCAGAGACTTTCGACTCCTCTTTCCTTGCAGTTAGAAGGGGTTGGAGCCGAGAGTGGAGGGGAGGGGACACAGGCCCACACACTCACCGGGGTCGACTCTCGACGCCCAGATATGAAGGATGGCTCTTCGAGGTGAACAGTGCCCAGCTGTAAGCTGCAGTCCTGAGAGGGATTCCCATGGGGAGTTCTCAACAGCGAAGAAAATCTTCCTCCTCTGTTCCCTCAGGTGCCCTGGCTTTCCGGGCGGTTTCTGGGCGACTGGGCCTGGCAGAGGCGCTGGCTTTATGAGGCAAGGCTTCACTGCTGGCCTTTCCGTGAGGTGGATGATGAGTGGCGAGCTAGCTGCCTAAGCTTGACCCATTTCATCTACTCGGGCAGGAAGCTCAGCAGGAGTAGAGGATGCAGCCGGGGCAGGCAGGGCCAGAGGGTCTGGAGGTGCTGGCCAGTCCGCTTCAGACAGGTTGTAGTGAGACCTGACCAATTATGGCTACAATCTGAGTTTAAAAGGTTTAGGCAAGGTCAGGCTGTACTTGCCTGGGACTCCCACTGCGCTGTCCCAGTGGACATGGGTCCCAGTGGAGAACCCTGGTCAGATGAAGAGGCTGGCCAATGTGGACATGCACGCATACACACTTGCACCCCGAGAAGCCACCAGCAGAACTTCCTTGGTGCCCAGCACAGGGAGCAAGAGCTGGTGCAGAATGAGAGACACATACTGCCCACAATTTGGAACGTATGAAATTCCTGGTTCTTATGTCACAAGGCTCCTTTCTTTGTATGGCCTGGGCTCGAAGAAGGTCTAAACTGGAAGCTTACCTAATTCTCTCTCACAGAATGACTATTGGGCTCTCCAAGGCTAGTCTCCTCTACTCACTCCTCCGCTAACGCCGCAGTCGCTACTCATGCCAGCCTAGAGGCTGACTGGGTGGAGGCTGGAGTGAGCAGACGGACCTAACGGTCAGGACAGCTCCGGCCCTGCAGCTCAGGGGCAGTGGGAGGCCCAAGAAGCATCTCCTTTTAGGCTTAGGCACTGAGGCTGCAAGGAACACACAGACACACACACACACACACAAACACACAAGCTCCGAGGTTGACAGACTGACACACACAGACATGACAACAACCAGAAGTTGGGACTCCACATACTAAGTGCAGGACTTTAGGGGGGCAGAGAGGAAAGTACTGGGGCACAAGAGGCAAGGGCAGGAAACCCCTCTAAATGGGAGTGGAGTGCCAACCTTCCTGCCTGGCCCCAAACACCTGCCTCCAGGGTCATGGCAAGAGTCCAGTCCGTAAGTGCAGCGTGCAATACGAGCGCTTGAACCGCCTGTCCTCATCAAGGCGGCGGCGCAGCAGATGGGGCAGCGGTCACCTGCAGGAGGCCGGGAAGCCCTGGCAGGCTAGTTGTACCGGCCCTTGATCATTGTGTTCAACAAGGGCCCCACCTGTGAAGAGACACGAGGAGCTCGTCAGAACTGCCTGCTTCTGGCCCTCCCTGGAGCTGGATACCCGTGCAGACATTCCACCTGGCAAACCCTCTAAGCAACTCTTCCTGGAGGTCAGCCCCGTAGTAGGGGCCACGACCCTGTCTCAGGGGTCCACTTTGAACTGCCGTGCCTCTCACAACCCTTGGTGTGTGTAGGCAGCACCAAACTGACCACCAGGCCGAAGGGGCTAGTCCCCGAACAGCCGAAAGCGCGTGTGCACATGCTTCTATGGGCCTTTTCCAATGTTAAATGCCTCTGTCTTCTCAAGGGTCACTGCAATTGGGGCTGCTGCCATCTCCAGACTCCAAAGGTCGCCCAGATGCTGTAGCCACCCACAGGAAGCAGGCTCAGCATTCCAAAGACGAACTGCCCCCATCTATCCGATGGGCCACTGGAGCACCTATGTGGGAAGGCAGTCTCGACGGTTACCTAAAGCTGCCTTGGCACAGCTGGGAAAGCGTGAGGAGCTGCTTTGCTGTTCGCTTCCCATTCCAGAAGAATCCCCTCAGGGGTCCCCAGCTGGTAGACCAGTCCCTTGGGGAACATCACCACTAGCATGGAACAGATTTTAATTGATCAGCCAGTCAAGCCCTGCTCTCTCCAGAAAACAAGGATTTTCTGAACGTACCCATAACCTCTATGCCGAGAGAGGACACCAGATAGTGAGACAGTGGAGCTACAGAGACTGCCACCCGACTTTGCATGGGCAATCCCGGGTCAGCTACATACCTCTTGTGGGTTCCCCAGGGCCTCTCCGAGCATCTTCTCGATGTTTCTCATTATGGCCACTTTCTGATGAGCTTTGAGAGGATATTCAATTCTCTTAGGGGTGGGGGCTCCCTGCAAGGGAAGCAGCAGCTCAGGATCGCCCTATTGCTTGCTCCTAGCACCATCCTTCCTCCAAGGAACCCAATCACTTCCCCTCTCCATCTCCCCAAGACCTGGGGACCATCTCCAGGCTAGTCCATCTGCCCCCGCCCCCCAGCTCCATATTCACCTTGTACCAGAAGTTCACAGTGATGGTAATTCCCCCATTTAGTAACGACTCTATGTGATGCCACCTGCAAGAGACCAACAGGTTCTGTTTGCCACAAATTCTTTCAGAGGGAGGAATGAAAAATGAGGTGGAGCCCAGTGATGGGTGACATTGATGATGTGGTCTCTACACCCGCCTGCAAAGCACACGCTGGGGCTGGGGGTGGGGCTGGGGCTAGGTGGTGTTGCCCTGCAACAAGGAGTCAGACTGCCTCTCAAGCTCCAAGCCTCGGGGACCTCTGGATCTGCCAGAGTGGTCATTTCCCCCACATTCAGCAGGGTGACTTCAGGAGATAGAAACCCTCTTAGAGACCACACAGGGCCCATCCTGCTGTAGAGCGAGGGACACAAGTGCAGCATTCCAAAGAATGGGAAAGGATGCACCCGAGAAGCGCCAGCCCTAGTCCCCTCCTCACCAGTACATTGGGATGTAAAGAACATCGCCAGGACCAACCACTGTTTCGTAGCCAACCACATTCTGGAAATTGGGGAACCTCTCATAATCGGGATTGTCAAAGTCCACCTGAGAGGTTTAAGGGAAAAAAAAAAAAAATCAAAGTCAGTCTATCACCAAATCTTTTCTTGGTATTCAAAAAAGATGCCACTAAACCAGTGGTTCTCAACCTGAGGGTCTCGACCCCTTTGGGGGGGAGGGGTGTCGAACAACTCTTTCACAGGGGTCGCCTGATTCATAACAGTAGCAAAATTACAGGTATGAAGTAGCGACAAAAATAATTTTATGGGTGGGGGATCACCACCACATGAGGAACTGTATTAAAGGGTCGTGGCATTAGGAAGGTTGAGAACCACTGCTCTAAACAAACAGATAACAAAGTCTTTAGAGTTTATGTCCAGCAAAAGACCTGTTGCCTCCCCCCATCTATTCTCTCTAGATCTTCTCTTTGGCTGGCCACAAAAATAGACCACATACTTCACCTAGACCCAGCAAATGCACTGTGACATTTCTCAATTCTACGTGCCCTTCTCAAAATCACCAAGTAGTAGTATCTATACAAAAGCAACCAATGAGTAAATCCAAAGAACACACGAGCAGTTTGTTCTATGAACTTGCTAGCCAATCAAACAAGAGTAGCGACAGTGTGCCAGCACCAACAATGGGGCCTTACAGCATTCACTCTACAGGGCTGCTTATGCTTACAAACTTGGGGGGGG